GGGCTTCAACAGCACAACTCCATTTGATTCTTTTCTGTGAAGTTGTTTTCAGCTGCCTAGAGGCTATAATCTCGTCCTCACATGGTCTCCACCATCTCACCCTCGGAATGGCGTCCAACTCGTGGTTTCCTATACGGGTTCCACTCGAGCCAAGTGTAAATCGTCTGGAGTTTTCTTATCGGTCCAGCATATTACTGTCTTCCCTCTCCCCATTCTCCATCTATAAAATAATCCAGTCCACCACAATCAGGAATATCAATAGTGACAGTAGTTAGCCTGGTTTTACTCCTGTCTTCACTTCGGAGGCATCACTGTGTTTTCTCTTGTGAATCACTTGACATGTAGCGTTATCATATAGCTGTTGAATGAGGTAGATAAAGGTTTGCGCACTTCACTCCATAGTGTTCAAACAGTTTCCAAATTATTTCACAGTCTTTGCTGTCGAAAACTTTTTCAGAGTGGATGAAGTTGAGGTAGACATTTGACAGCCATAGTCTACTCTATTCGGTGATCTGTATTCAGATTCCGTCTTGCAGTCTTCCTGGACTTCTGTAGCTTGATTGCATTGAACACTTCTGCTTCAGTTGGCGGACTGGTGTTCGCTGACAGTTCTGTGGCTGTTGGTAGTAGTCCTGAACGAGTTGCAGGTGACGGTCGGTTCAAGAGTCATTTGAAGTGATCAGCCCATTGTGTCCTCTACTTCTCTGCGTTGACAATCAGCTTCTTTTGGCTACCTTTTATTTGTTTCATCATCTGTGTTGATCTGTTCCCGGATAGCGAGCAGCCTGGTTATCTGATATAATGTTCTGAGGTCTCTTTTGCCCGTGGCCCACCTGTTCTGCTTCAGTTGTCGGCCAGTGTGTTGTAGAATTGTCTTGTGTCTCTGCTATCACTCTTGTCCATTTCTTTATTCAGTGCGTTGTATATTGAATTCAGCTTCTCTTTCTGTTATTCTTCTCTGCATTAGTTCATCTTCTGTCTCACTATCCTTCCTTCGTTAATTAACTCCCAGGAGTCCGTAGAGAATGATTCCTTTCTTTTGCCTGTTCTTTCTACCTTAGACGTCTGTAGAGGTTTCCTTGCATATAGCATTTAGAGAGTTCTAATGTACTTCCACACAGGTTTCCTCGGTGATGATACAAAATTTTTTTAGCTTTGCTGTGATGGCTGAAGTGAAGGTGTCCTTTGTATTTTTATCGTTCAGTTTCTCAGTGTTGAACTTGAATTGTGGTCTGTTCCCAGTTGCTTTTCAGTCTCTCAACTTGTTCTCGAAGGTCCCTTGAACCAAATGATGCTATGAAACCAAATCTCCTCCTCTGGGAGAACGAATCTCCACTTTCTTTAGAACATTGCGATGAAGTCTGTCTGATTTTTGGTGTATCTAGTGTCTGGTGAAGCCTATGTCGATTTGCTTATGTCCTTGTTCTTGTACACCCTACTTCCAATGACTAAATCATTGAAGATACAAAAATCGGGGACTGGTCCTGCCTTCTCCTTCATTTAGCCGAGCGAAAGCCTCCCAACTCTTGATGGGTTATCTTCCCAAGTTGTGTTTGCTCTTAGCTTGGTTTGGATTTAAATCGCCCATCAAAGTTTTGATGCTTTCATTTGGTGTCTTGTGGTTTACTGCTTGCAGTTGTCTGTAGAAGACTTCCTTCTCCTTCACAGGACGCTCTGCGTTGTTGTTGGTGAATAGAATTGGGTAATTGTAATTCTTCTTTCTATGGAGTAGAATCTTGGTGTCATTATCCTGGAGCAGATTGATTCCCACTGTATAAGAGCCTTGGATAATGATTTTGGTGACATCATCATAGTCACTCCGTCAGTGTATCGTCTGAGAGTGACCGGAGTAGATTATTGACTCCAGTCAACAATTATGAGAATCTGCTTTCATTCCATTTGCTGCTATATCAGTTGAAAAGTTTAGTATGGGATTTTCTACTACTACAGTGCCTAAGTTGCAAGTATATGTATATATATTCCTTTACATTCCCATTGGAACATAGGGCTTCGAAGTTTATGTAGCAGCGGTGTTTATCTTTACGGGATGGGGTTGCTAGCCTCATGCCCACCCTTCCCTCTTTACCAGTCTTATTACTGGCTTAGCGAGGTATAGGAGTGCATTGGTGGCCGGGGATCGAACCCCGAACCGTATGTGGCGCGGTTGGCGAACATTGTACTACTATGCCACCAAAGCACTATATATATATATATATATATATGTAATATTTTTTTATTAACATTTTTTTCTTGTTCCATTCGTTGACTAATGCAATCCAATGTGGACAGTTTGTGTATATGGGTAAATAGGAATTTGAAAATTACTAAAATCATCCAATACGTGTTGGGTGGACAGGGTGAAAGTATTAAAAAGTACTGTAGGTAGGTGGAGAGAGAAAGGTTAATCACTGATACTTTGTGTTTCGACTCAAAACCACACCCGTGCATTCGGAATGATGCATAGTCTATACTGGAGATATAGAAAGTGGCAACAAACAACAAGGGGAAAATGGAGAGAGAATATCTATTAGACAAATTGTGAAGTCGTGTGACTAAAATCGATAAGATTATGAGTGGCAATAATTTATGCTGGACACCTTGTCATCCAGTTGTTAATACTGCATCATCACTGTGTGATATTTAAAATAAACTTATCTAATATGGAATAACAGTTTTTGTGATCGACTAATGGAACAGTGAACAAAAGATGCTTGCTGTATTCTTTTTCATTCTTATTTCGGTTGTGCTTATTTTTGTCTCTAGGATTTGTGTTACTCCAGCTGTGAGTGATATGTCATACTTTTATAAGTTGAATTGGTTCAATTTTGGCACAAATATTCTTCCGAATAGGTTCTCGTAGAGAAATCAGTGTCCGCTAATCACATTAAGTTCCAATTAGCTCCACTCATTTGTTACACTGAAATGTCAATTTTATGTGATTGGTTGATAGGATAGGATAAGATAGGATTAGTTGAAAACCCGATATCTTTAGGACCTGAAGTCTATCTCATTTGTCTACCTGTAGTAGCTGACTTGACCAACTAAAATGTGACATTGCAGGAGTTTTCATGGTACATTCAACGGTAATGACATAGTTGTGACTTGTTCGCCAATGTTTCTGTTGATTTGTTGTATATCTTGATATATGTCTCATTGTAATATCTGAGGCTGTAGTGTGGTCATTTAGTGACCAACATTTAGGTGGTGTTTAAATATTGAATTAATGCAGAAGATTTGTAACTCAGGTGGATGATCTTGCTTTAGATTTTAGTATAAAATGGACGTATTTAAATTCTCCATGAATGATGTAGTTGTATCTTCTGGCAACCACTGTCGTGACTGGTGGTTACTTTACGTCTCTACTTACTTGAAATTTCAGCTTTCTTGTCACGTGACTTACTTTTTATTAGTTGGTGTATTTGATCTGTGGCAGTGTGTCTGTTAATCGCTGATTCATTGCTGCTTCAGTACCAGACTACTAGAAATTCTCTGGTATTTTTGAAGACAGCTAGTAGGTATTTTTCTTCCATTCTCTTCAGCATTGGAGTGCTCTTTTAAACAATGTCTGCACACAGTTTCTTTTGTGTGTTATTGAGTTATTACCACCAAAGTTGAACATTTCGTCTGTGTGCGTTGATTTTACTGCTGTCGAAAACTTTTTCAGAGTGGATGAAGTTGAGGTAGACATTTGACAGCCATAGTCTACTCTATTCGGTGATCTGTATTCAGATTCCGTCTTGCAGTCTTCCTGGACTTCTGTAGCTTGATTGCATTGAACACTTCTGCTTCAGTTGGCGGACTGGTGTTCGCTGACAGTTCTGTGGCTGTTGGTAGTAGTCCTGAACGGGTTGCAGGTGACGGTCGGTTCAAGAGTCATTTGAAGTGATCAGCCCATTGTGTCCTTTACTTCTCTGCGTTGACAATCAGCTTCTTTTGGCTACCTTTTATTTGTTTCATCATCTGTGTTGATCTGTTCCCGGATAGCGAGCAGCCTGGTTATCTGATATAATGTTCTGAGGTCTGTTTTACCTGTGGCCTGCCAGTTCCGCTTCAGTTGCCGGCTAGTGTGTCGTAGAATTGTCTTCGCTATCACTATTGTTCACTTCTTCATTCAGTGCGTTGTACGTTGAATTCAGCTTCTCTTTCTGTTATTCTTCTCTGCATTAGTTCATCCTCTGTTTCACTATCCCTCCTTCCAGGAGTCCGTAGAGAATAATTTTAAATGCAATGTTGCGGTAGGCATGTGTTGTTGAACATTGGTGAGTATACCTGTGTTCCAGAGTCTGTCAAACGTTGGGAATATGGTGATAGCATTCGTCCGAGTCTAAAACCTGCATGGTTTTCATGGATCTGTCTCTGCCGAGCAACTCGTAGTCTACGCATGACTATTTAACATAAAATTTTAAACATTATTGTATGGTAGATCCCTTTACAATCATCATGATAAACTGGAGTACACAACAACGCCGAATGCTTTAATATAAAGCCATCAGGATGGTTTTAAGCAATTAACGATAATGTTGTTCCTCCTTCCGTAATCTCCATTGATGGTATCAGAGTTGATGGATAGATAGACAGATAGAAGACGTAGAATGTGCTTGTAGAGTAGTGAGGAGCAAGTAAGAAGGTGGATGGAAGTGTGTAAGGGGTTATTACCTCCCGGCTGATCACACCATGGACAGAAGTCAGTTTCTTCTCGGAATACCTGAAAAAGGAACAGCATTAGTGCTGTGTGATTCCAAAGCCCTGGGTGTAACTCCTTGAAACCAGTTACGCACAACCTGGCTTCAACTTGTAAGCGTATAATATATATATATAAAGACATTCATATATTAGCATAGTGTGTTATATCTTAGTGGTTTTATTGAAGTTACATGCCGTTTTCTCTAAATACAAGTGTGGCCGTTAGTCAAAGGAAATGTGTTTTACTGCATTTCAGTATCATATTTATATATGGTATATTTGAAAAGTGTCATCCTGTGTATTTAAATAAATTTTAGATTGAAGATCGACGCCGACGTGGTGAAAAACTGATTGCTCGACAGCGGGAAATGATCTGTGAATTGAAAGAAGATTTGCAGCGTTCAGAAACAGAAAATAAGCGTATATTTGTAAGTTATGCACAAGGTGAAAATGTTTCCTTATTGATACCTACAATTTGTTTGTAACTTCCAGTCTGTTTTGCTTATTGACATATCCTGATTTACGATATACTTTCACAACTCGGACATTTTATTTATAATAGGCGTGTCCGAATGACGTTACTCATTTGTAAGATAATCTGAACATTATTCGGACGCGTCGTTTAACTTTAAAAGTGCTTACAACTATCCGATACGAAAACATCCTGCACAAGTGAGAACAATTGAACATTCATCAGTGGGGAAGTCCTTAACTCAGAGAAGGCTCGTTCCGTATTCGGTGAACAGAATGAAGCTTTATGAGATAGTGTGGAAGTCTTAGGTAGGAAGTGTGACATTGCCAGTGATGGTGCCAGAGATGATGCTGGTTGATGTATATTGCCTTAACTTACGAAACACACCGTGGGATATAATTTTGTAACGTCAGACGACAAGGGACAGGCAACAGATCGTTTATTGAGAAAATCAAGAGATATTTATAGATTTTTATGTACATTATTATTAGCGTTATTGTTAGCAGAGAAGCAACCTCGTCTGATTGGTTGTTTTCTTGCTGGAGGTTACTCTGTACTGCTTGTGACCGTTTCTCAGAAAGTTAAGCCATATATCTGCGAATCGTATTTGCACACATTAAGTCCTCTGTGATTGGTTGTTGAATTCCTCAAGGTTAAGTTTTGTTATGATAATAATAACAAGGACAAATTGATTCAAGTGTTTATATAATCTAGGCAACAGTGAGTGTATAAATAGAATGTGTGTGCTATTAGGGGTGGAGAGAGGAAGTGACTGTTGTGACATAGCAATTAGATAATGTGATAATGATGAGTTGTGAAACCGAGGTTAGAATCTACAAGTACAGCAAAGGATACTGATAATACAGTTAGCATTACAAATAGAATAAAATCATAATAATATAATATTTACAGTTTTCCTGTGTCACCAGGAGAGATAACTATTTTAGAATGCGGGGAGATGAAGAGATTGAACAAACGCTTTTTTTTCTGAGCACAGAGACTGGCTTGAAAAATCATTATGGCGACTGCCTCAGCTAACCCGAGCAACCGAAGACGTACCAACCTAGGGATTTGAGGTGACACTTTATATAGGATTGTAAAATCTGAATTTTTGTCGGTCTTGTGCTCCGTATCCACTAAGAAAGCCAGTATGAAATTTCTGTTTGACTTTACTATACCTTTACCTAATCACAATGGACAATGCTCCAGAAGGCGACGGTGAGCTTGCCGAATCTTTCTACCTATGTAGCTGTCTCCATATTATTATTATTACTTCCTTTAATTCCTAGAGGAACATAGGGCTTCAGCCGTGCGTCTCCATTGCGTTCGCTTCTTTACTAGAGTCTCCTCCTACTCCAAGTCACCCTTGGACGACCAACTCGCCGCTTCCCTTTCGGGTTCCACTCGAGCGATGGCTTGTCTAGTGATGTCACTTGATGGTTTCCTAAGAGTATGGCCAGCCAATCCACTTCCATTTCTTCCTGCCTATTTGTTTGACAATCGGTTCCTGGTCGGTTCGCTCCCAGATATCCCTATTGCTGATCCTTTCTGGCCATCTGATCTTGAGAACTGAGCTGTCTCCGTATGAACAGTTAAATTTACAAATGCACCTTGAATTGGTCAGACTCGGTAGCGTATCCCTCACCTGCATTGGAATGAAACAATGAATGGCAAATTTTCAATACAATGTTGCGGTAAAAAATGTCTTAACTACAATTTTCCGAAGTTTCGATGCCAGCAATTCAATTGTTGTGTCTCCTTTGAACGGTAAAGTCATGTATGTACGTCTCTTCGGCACCATATGAATTTGATTATTGGATATATCACACAGCGAGACAGTATTATTAGTTACTGGATGACAAAGTTTCGAACACAACTTGTTATTGTTCACAATCACTTCATCAATTATAATCACACAACTTCGAAACTTTAGTTTTATAATTTTCTTTTCTCTTGCCTATTTTATTTGTAGAGGTAGTAGAATTTTCCAGATGTCTGAGTGAACGGGTGCTGAATCATTCTTATTACACGTGCTTGCAGTTGATTCGATAAATAAAGCTTCCGTGATCAATCTCTTCCTGTACTCTAATGTATTAGATCTTAGAACTATCAAATAGGAAAAAAGAAACTGTTGAACTAAAGTTTCGAAGTTGTATGATTATAATTGATATGATTGCGAACAATAACAATTTGTGTTCGAAACTTTGTCATCCAGTAAATAATAATACTGTTTCACACTATGTGTGATATATCTAATAGACAAATTAATATGGAATTACTTACCGCCACTGTGCCTAAGGTTTACGCATGTATCTTATCTACACCATTCGCAGGCATTTCTCTCTATCTCTTCTCCTCATGAAGACTTTAAAAACAATTTTTTGGGTATCCGTTGTCATATAATAATTTTTATATTTCTCTTATTTCGTAGCCCACAGTGTCGATTGTGCAAACTTTCCTAGCTCGACACATCATGGTACTGATAAGATTTTGTTTGCATGTAAGAGGAACAAATGATCTGAAAGGTATGTATGGGTGTGTGTGTGTGTGTGCATTGTCCAACCCATAACTTCTTCCAGGAAATAGCCCCCTCCCTCCCCGCTTAATACTGTCATCTTGCCTTCTTGTTAGCCAGTCTACCACCAAATATATAGTTGATACTGTGTCACAAATGATAATTTCAGTATATATGTTATTGAACACAATAAGGCCTGTGATTTGACTGAAGTTCTCAGTGCTACTTGGATGATATATGCTCGCTTATTGTATGAATGTAGTGTTGTTATCCATCGTGGTTTACACTATATGGCGCTGTAAATTTTTTCAACTTCGATGTTTACGGTTTTTCTCTCATCAGTTTGAACTTCATATATAAATATATATGTATGTATATGATCCTTTTATTACAGAATGAATACATGGCGGAAATGAGGAAAAAGTACTTCAAACGGGATGCAGTAAATAAATTATTAGCTGAAAGAGAGCGTTTACTCCAGGAGAATGCAAAACTTACTTATGAATTACAAAGTTTTGAAGAAATGGAGGTTTGTTGTATTTGAATTTGATTTATTGATTTGTTAAGTATTGAATTGTTTATATTGATCGATAGAGAATGGAGAGAATATACTGACTAATTTTAAGACTGTTTAAAAATTCATTTTAGTATTACAGTTGACTTTGTCTTTATTCGATTGTTATATAAGAATTTTGTTTGAGTGAGGTATCAATTCACCTGTGTTTTCATTAGCATGACTTGGTGATTCTCCTTTCAGTGGCGCAACACTGCTAATTCTATGAAGCCATGCACAAGTTTTGTTGTCATGTGAAGTGACGACAGGTATGCCTATAGTTCCTATTTCTGTTTAATTTCATCATAGATGTGCTAATGAACTTAGCCCTAACTGACTTTAGTCACTCAGGGATTGACTTACTACCACCAGGGAATAATCTCGTTGACTTCGAATTTGCAGATAGCATAGTTCAGTTTCATCTAGGTGGTTCCACATAGATGGTTCATGAGATTCAGGTTGTAATCGCTTGGGGAATCCGAGAGTGATTAGATTCCGATGTATAATTTCATAGTATACGTATTATTGCAGTAATATGAATTAGGAGGGGAGGGTGTTTGACTTAAGCGATTTATTGAAAGTCGTAGAACGAATGCTGTGAACACTTTTCGTAACAGCTGTACCAGTAAATGAATTATTCGAATGCGTACACAGCCCAAAATTATAGACATTCTGTTGACACATTGTTAGTTTTTCCCCATCTGAATGTTACTCGTATTCCTCCTCATTTCTATCAGTGCATGAACTGAAGTGAAGGAACTCTCAAGTTGATCAAACCATCAGTCGCTTTGATATTTCTATAAGATACGTAGACAACACTTTCGTTGTCTGAGACAAGAACGTAATTCCTAGTGATATCTTGCTTGCATTCAACAACTGACATCCTTCTCTGCAACTCACCATAGAAAAGAAAATGTGAACTAAGCATTCCCTTTCATGATGTGTGCGTTAGTAGGTGCAGTGGTGGATCTCTCAAAATATCCATCCGCCGGAAACGTACATGGAATGGACAACTAACTAATTTTATAGTTGGGTGCTTATGTCCAGGAAAGGGGACGGAATTCAATTGCTCTGCTTTAGGATAAAAACATCTGTAGTTCTGACTGTGTTCACTTAAAGCTTTCCTTCCTAAAAACCACGCTCGCAGAAAACAGCTATCCGAACCGATTTACTGACAAAAATACAAAAGATAAGCAGACCAAACGGGTCACTGACTCAGTTCCTAAGAAAGCCGCATTCATGAATTTGGAATTCAAAGGTGATCAGGCTCTTTAGATATACTCAAAAATCATCTCCCTAAATCAGTCAGTAAGACGTTGTTTGCTGCAAAATTACAAATGACGTTCGCCAGTCGTGAATTGTTCTCAATCTCAGTAGTATAAAAGATAAGCCCACTCATCTGGCCTCCTCCATGTACATCTATCAGTTTAACTGCTCTTGTGGAGCAAAGTACATTGGCCGTAGCCAGAGGAGATTTTCCACACGAATAGGAGAACATATTCCAGCACGGTTTTGCAAAGGAAAAGGGGAGAGGGAGGGGAGATGTATTCTGCAACACTTGATCGACTCCTGTCACTCTGCCAACGCTGACCATGATTTTGAGATCATCTATGGAATCTGTGTTAACTTGCCGCATTTTCTTCGTTCTAAACTCCTAAAAACAGGGGAGGCCTTCTCCATTCATTAGTTTGAGCCAGACTTTCGCGTGTAAAAGAAGTATGTACAATCTGTATTTCTGCAGTGGACGTAGACGGATAAATACGTATCTATCTGTTTTTTATTATTGTTACCATTGTGTTTTTCACTCATTTAATTTGCTTTTTTTGTCGATGTACCTTCCCCTCATTACTACTATCATTATTAATCTCATTATTGTTGTTATTATTATTACTGCTATTCTCACTTTGAAGCATTTCCACTTATCCCTGCTGCCATTCAAAATCAAAAATACTTGTTTGCAATATTGACTTCCATCCTATCAAATTTCATACCATGTTATGTAACGTTTCATATTTGCCCACTAACCCTATGGTGGTTAAACGCACCCTTCCAATATCTGTACATCCTATGAGTTATTGTGTATATAACATTGATTGTTTTACCACTTGACATTTAGCTGTGTGATTATATAATCGCATCTAATTCAACTGCAAGTCACTCTATTATTATCTTCTGTGCTCATACATTTGTTTGTATTTTCTCACAGGATATAATTTCTTAAGACGCTTGTACAGCTTGATAGTAAATCCGTTGAAACGAGTCTCTTCACTGAAACTTGTGTTCAAAATATTATAATGGAATTATCGAAATTTATGTTTTTGGCTTGCTTGATTTTATGTCTGTTAATAATATTACGGCCTGATTGAGTGACTGACTAGACGTCATCTGGTTGAGTAGTCTTCTTCGCCTCTTGTTAGTATTGATAATTGTATAATTCATATAAGTGTGAAACATGGGCACTGTGGTGGAGCACAACTCCATTATGGACAAGATTTTATTTTGATAAATCACACAGTGTTGTACAGTAATATTAACTTATGACGTTTTAGGCACAAACTATCGCCACTCATAATCATATCAAATCACTACTCACACAACTTTTTCCTTCATTTATATACATGTGTGGATCGATTAGATATTGGAATAAAAATCAATATAGGCTAATGTACATTCAGAAACAATAATAATATTAGTGTTATTGATCAAATATAATCAGACCGGAAATAAGACGAGTGTTGTGATGTGCTTGAATGGAAATAGAATTTTAAGATTATTTATCATCCTCTTGTGATTTGACCGGCGGTAATAATATCTTCCATATTTCTGGTATTTGCATTGAGTCATTTCTGTTGCATGTGTTGGGTGTAGACTCAATGAACCAGGATGCAGTAATCAATCTCTCTCCACCTACATAGATTACTTCTTAGAATCTTAACCCTCTCCCACCCTATTGTGTGGTTGTGTGTTAATCCATACAGTGCAGTGTAGTGCTGAGCTTTTTTCTGAATTACTAATCTTTTCGGGGTCAACCATTCTTACCTTAGCTAAATTCTTATGTTCCGACAATCTGACTACCCGCGACCTACTAGTTTGACCTATGTAGTTGACCTCAGTCAGAGTCATTGCAGGGTATTTTGTAAATTATATTATTTGTCTAATTAGGTCACCAGGGTCCTTTAACCTACAGAGCTTGTCCTACCTGAGTGAGTTTGTAGTTTTCAATGCCACCCTAATTCCTGCTTTATTAAGAATCCTACGTAGGGCCTCAGATGTCGCCTCTTTATATGCTATAACGGTGGATGACTTATATTCTCTCTTATTTATGTTATCATTACTAGTTTCACAATTGTTTTTATTTTGCTTTTGGCCTTTACTGATCTTCCTAATGAAATTTATAGGATAGTTATTTGATACCAACAACTCTTCATCTATCTGTTTTATTTCATCATTTAGGTGTTTTCTTGTGCTACTAAGTGCTACTGCTCGTTTTGTTAGACATTTGAAATCTGCTCCATAATTGATAATTGTATGTTGTGGTAGTAATTGTTTTTCATGGTATAGTATGTAACTTTTGTAATTATTTGTTTTTCACCGGTAATATAATGTGTTAAATGTTTTTGTTCAATATAGTTGGATCGGAACTGGGAAACTGTGAAGGTGGCAAGAGCATTCAATCTCGTGGATGAGAGTTGCGAGAAAAGAGTATCTACTACAGTGTAAGATGTGATTTAGGTATTTTTCTTTATTTAATAAACTGGTAATTGTGAGCTTCATTGGTAAAATACTTAATAGGTTTTCTTCAAAATAACCATTATTATTATTATCTGCTTTGGTATCGAGTTGAACATAGGGCTTCAACAGCACAACTCCATTTGATTCTTTTCTGTGAAGTTGTTTTCAGCTGCCTAGAGGCTATAATCTCGTCCTCACATGGTCTCCACCATGTCACCCTCGGAATGGCGTCCAACTTGTGGTTTCCTATACGGGTTCCACTCGAGCCAAGTGTAAATCGTCTGGAGTTTTCTTATCGGTCCAGCATATTACTGTCTTCCCTCTCCCCACTCTCCATCTATAAAATAATCCAGTCCACCACAATCAGGAATATCAATAGTGACAGTAGTTAGCCTGGTTTTACTCCTGTCTTCACTTCGGAGGCATCACTGTGTTTTCTCTTGTGAATCACTTGACATGTAGCTGTTGAAGGAAGTTAATCAAGGTGTACCCACTTCACTCCATAGTGTTCAAACAGTTTCCAAATTATTTCACAGTCTTTGCTGTCGGAAACTTTTTCAGAGTGGATGAAGTTGAGGTAGACATTTGACAGCCATGGTCTACTCTATTCGGTGATCTGTATTCAGATTCCGTCTTGCAGTTTTCCTGGACTTCTGTAGCTTGATTGCATTGAACACTTCTGCTTCAGTTGGCGGTCTGGTGTTCGCTGACAGTTCTGTGGCTGTTGGTAGTAGTCCTGAACGGGTTGCAGGTGACGGTCGGTTCAAGAGTCATTTGAAGTGATCAGCCCATTGTGTCCCATAATTCTCCGCTTTGATAATCAGCTTCCCTTGGCTACCTTTTATTTGTTTCATCATCTGTGTTGATCTGTTCCCGGATAGCGAGCAGCCTGGTTATCTGATGCAATGTTCTGAGGTCTCTTTTGCCCGTGGCCTACCTGTTCTGCTTCAGTTGTCGGCCAGTGTGTTGTAGAATTGTCTTGTGTCTCTGCTATCACTCTTGTCCATTTCTTTATTCAGTGCGTTGTATATTGAATTCAGCTTCTCTTTCTGTTATTCTTCTCTGCATTAGTTCATCTTCTGTCTCACTATCCTTCCTTCGTTAATTAGCTCCCAGGAGTCCGTAGAGAATGATTCCTTTCTTTTGCCTGTTCTTTCTACCTTAGACGTCTGTAGAGGTTTCCTTGCACATAGCATTTAGAGAGTTCTAATGTTCTTCCACACAGGTTTCCTCGGTGATGATACAAAATTTTTTTAGCTTTGCTGTGATGGCTGAAGTGAAGGTGTCCTTTGTAGTTTTATCGTTCAGTTTCTCAGTGTTGAACTTGAATTGTGGTCTGTTCCCAGTTGCTTTTCAGTCTCTCAACTTGTTCTCGAAGGTCCCTTGAACCAAATGATGCTATGAAGCCAAATCTCCTCCTCTGGGAGAACGAATCTCCACTTTCTTTAGAACATTGCGATGAAGTCTGTCTGATTTTTGGTGTATCTAGTGTCTGGTGAAGCCTATGTCGATTTGCTTATGTCCTTGTTCTTGTACACCCTACTTCCAATGACTAAATCATTGAAGGTACAGAAATCGAGGACTGGTCCTGCCTTCTCCTTCATTTAGCCGAGCGAAAGCCTCCCAACTCTTGATGGGTTATCTTCCTAAGTTGTGTTTGCTCTTAGCTTGGTTTGGATTTAAATCGCCCATCAAAGTTTTGATGCTTTCATTTGGTGTCTTGCGGTTTACTGCTGGCAGTTTTCTGTAGAAGACTTCCTTCTCCTTCACAGGACGCTCTGCGTTGTTTTGGGTGAGTAGAATTGGGTAATTGTAATTCTCCTTTCTATGGAGTAGAATCTTGGTGTCATTATCCTGGAGCAGATTGATTCCCACTGTATAAGAGCCTTGGATAATGATTTTGGTGACATCATCATAGTCACTCCGTCAGTGTATCGTCTGAGAGTGACCGGAGTAGATTATTGACTCCAGTTAACAATTTTGAGAATCTACTTTCATTCCATTTGCTGCTATATCAGTTGAAAAGTTTAGTATGGGTATCTCTACTACTACAGTGCTTAAGTTGCAAGGATATATATAGTCCTTTACGTTCCCATTGGAACATAGGGCTTCAAGCTAGAGCTTTGAAGTTACGGTAGCAGCGGTGTTTATCTTTACGGGATGGGGTTGCTAGCCTCATGCCCACCCTTCCCTCTTTACCAGTCTTATTACTGTCTTAGCGAGGTATAGGAGTGCGTTGGTGGCCGGGGATCGAACCCCGAACCATATGTGGCGCGGTTGGCGAACATTGTACTACTATGCCACCAAAGCACTATATATATATGTAATATTTTTTTATTAACATTTTTTTCTTGTTCCATTCGTTGACTAATGCAATCCAATGTGGACAGTTTGTGTATATGGGTAAATAGGAATTTGGAAATTACTAAAATCATCCAATACGTGTTGGGTGGACAGGGTGAAAGTATTAAAAAGTACTGTAGTTAGGTGGAGAGAGAAAGGTTAATCACTGATACTTTGTGTGTCGACTCAAAACCACACCCGTGCATTCGGAATGATGCAGAGTCTATACTGGAGATATAGAAAGTGGCAACAAACAACAAGGGGAAAATGGAGAGAGAATATCTATTAGACAAATTGTGAAGTCGTGTGACTAAAATCGTTAAGATTATGAGTGGCAATAATTTATGCTGGACACCTTGTCATCCAGTTGTTAATGCTGCATCATCACTGTGTGATATTTAAAATAAACTTATCTAATATGGAATAACAGTTTTTGTGATCGACCAATGGAACAGTGAACAAAAGATGCTTGCTATATTCTTTTTCATTCTTATTTCGGTTGTGCTTATTTTTGTCTCTAGGATTTGTGTTACTCCAGCTGTGAGTGATATGTCATACTTTTATAAGTTGAATTGGTTCAATTTTTGCGCAAATATTCTTCCGAATAGGTTCTCGTAGAGAAATCAGTGTCCGCTAATCACATTAAGTTCCAATTAGCTCCACTCATTTGTTACACTGAAATGTCAATTTTATGTGATTGGTTGATAGGATAGGATAAGATAGGATTAGTTGAAAACCCGATATCTTTAGGACCTGAAGTCTATCTCATTTGTCTACCTGTAGTAGCTGACTTGACCAACTAAAATGTGACATTGCAGGAGTTTTCATGGTACATTCAACGGTTATGACATAGTTGTGACTTGTTCGCCAATGTTTCTGTTGATTTGTTGTATATCTTGATATATGTCTCATTGTAATATCTGAGGCTGTAGTGTGGTCATTTAGTGACCAACATTTAGGTGGTGTTTAAATATTGAATTAATGCAGAAGATTTGTAACTCAGGTGGATGATCTTGCTTTAGATTTTAGTATAAAATAGACGTATTTAAATTCTCCATGAATGATGTAGTTGTATCTTCTGGCAACCACTGTCGTGACTGGTGGTTACTTTACGTCTCTACTTACTTGGAATTTCAGCTTTCTTGTCACGTGACTTACTTTTTATTAGTTGATGTATTTGATCTGTGGCAGTGTGTCTGTTAATCGCTGATTCATTGCTTCAGTACCAGACTACTAGAAATTCTCTGGTATTTTTGAAGACAGCTAGTAGGTATTTTTCTTCCATTCTCTTCAGCATTGGAGTGCTCTTTTAAACAATGTCTGCACACAGTTTCTTTTGTGTGTTATTGAGTTATTACCACCAAAGTTGAACATTTCGTCTGTGTGCGTTGATTTTACTATACGCTTGTGTTTCTAAATTTCCTTTGTTAGTTCTCTTGATTAAGACATCTGAGAGTAGAGTTTTGTTGTCGTCTAATTCTTCTTCTATTGTGAATCTAATTTATTCCTAACATATGTTGTTTATTAGTTTGTGAGTGTATTCCAGATCACATTTCTTTTAATCATTACGAATATGTCATCAAAGTAACGTACCCAGTATCAATAGAGGTGTTTTGTATTTCCCAATGAATGAAAGACAAAACGATATTGTTTTTACTGACGTTTCGCAATTTAACGCTAATAGCTTTATCAAACTATTATTAAACAAGGATTTACAAAATTTCAGCTCATGTGACAACTTAATCATCGTTCCTCAGTATGGGGTCATTTTTGGCGTTGTCAAGTTGGCCAGTTGGTAAAGATAACAAAACTAGGTGTAGATTGTTGGATTTGATAAGTGTGTAAAATTATAAAAGCAGTGTGTGTCTACATAATGAAATTGCTTATCACATTCTTATTGATTTTTCCGTTATTAGACGTTCTTTGTTATTTCTGAAATGTTTCTGGATGATGATTTCAATATTGTCGAAATCAATTTTGTGACCTGATTCTATTGCGTGTAGACGACCTATGGCTGATGATTTTTCAAGTTTTTCTTGTTCAACTGGATTTCTCGGTGGTCGAACAGAGACGGCTTTACGGTGTTTATTTCTTCTGATTTTGATTTCTCGAGATGTTTGTCCGAGGTATATCGCATCACATTCCAAGCGAGCATTTTTGTATAGACACAATTAGAGTATCTTTAGGTATTTGGTCTTTTCTTCGAAGCCCTACCCAGATTTTTGGTTTAGTTATGGTTAGGGCTATTAAAGCATTTAAACGCTTCTTGAATAATTTTGGTCTGGTCGTCAGTCTCCTCCGTATGTGCCGAAGTGTACTTGAAGCGATTTTGGTTGTTTTGTTGATAATAGGACTACCACTACTACTACTACGTAGGACGGTGATGTCAGTTCATCTGTGTGACCTACATTACTGACGGTTGTTATATAAAAGATATTGAAAGTGTGAATTGCATTTAGACTAGACCTTCGTGTTTTCATTCGTATCAATTGTTCATGTTAAGTCGAACTGTGTTGTGAATAATAATCAGGTGATGTTAGGTTAGATAAGACAAGTATGTTGATAAGTGTTCATCATTTGAAATGACTAGAAGACACGATATGTGCCCATGGGTTGATGTCAATCGATAATAAATGTGATGACTTTATTTTGCGATAATGAATACTAATTCTATGTCAGAGTTGACAGTTACTCACTTGGTAATGATATATATATATATATAAACGTTTCCATAATGTTTTTTCTCTATAGAAATCGCTGTAAGTCTTTAAAACAAGCCCTTAACGAAACCGTACAAAGCCAAATGAAAAGTCGTCAACGTTTGGTTGATATAGCTCTAGCGAATCGTGACCTTCAAGATGAAATATGGCACTATACAGCTATGAATTCATCTCTGTCTTCAGAAATTGCAGAACTTCAGAGTGAACTTGCCAGTTTACAGAAGGAAAATCACTGTGGTAATGAAAATGCCGATGCTGTGAATTCGAAGCCAAAGAGATTTCGTGCATCGGATTCAGGTTTGTTATGATATATTGTGTATACAGAGGGGTTACACGTAGTCATATCATTGTGATTTTAACCCTACACAGGCACACACGCACGCACACTCTAATGACGACTATATTGTTGTATTGAATGCCAAGAAGGAGGTGGAGGAGTGATAAACTCTAATAATTGGTGTGTGTCGTGTTGATTATTCCTGAAACTAATCGTAGGGATAATGAAAAAGGGGATTAGAAAATTATGAATTCCACTCTGGTGAGGAGTACACATCACACTTACAACTAGTCGATGAAGCGATCGTCTATGGTTGACTGAATTTCAGTCATTTGATCGATCTAACCACTGTGGTGGAAGTGTAGGTAGGAATAACGTTATTGTCGTCGTCGTTCACAAAAGTTTGTTTTTCTTGCATTATGCACTTGCAAAATAACACAAGAGTATTTAGAATTTATAAAATATCATGCATATTGTAGAGTATATGCTGTAGAGTTTTGATCACATTACTATTTCACACATATATGATTTGAATATAGGCAAATGCGAACGCACGACGAGTGCCCTTGAGCCGACCAATCAGGAAATGCATTAGGTTTTGCATATAAATATGATGTTTGTTTACATGAGAATACATTAAGCAGGATATTTTTTCCTCACATGATGCAAGAAAACCTCCAAATTATAATGAAGAGTATAGGTTTTCAGGCTTGATCAGTCTATATGCATGTATTCACCAAGGTGATTGAATCCGAGTTCATATTGTGACCCATTTATCCCTCTTATGCCAATTTTTAGTCTTGTTCCTCAAAAGACCTCGATTGATTGGTTGGAGGGTTTCATCATAAGTTGACATCAGTAAGAGAACCATTGTAAAGGCTGGGTGTACTGGACACCTTTTTCGTCTAGTTGTAGACTCTTCTTCAGTACGCACCCACCAGCAAGGTCCGATCCCAGGGCCTTCTGGTTACAAGGCGAGCTAGCTCGTAGACCATTAAGTCACTGTGACCCGATCCAATGACCAGCCCATGAATTCTAACATCTACCAATTCATGACATAGCGCGACCACTTCTCAATGTCTTCTTCGATGAGTTATTGCCTCACCTTCGACCTGTTGCACCTTACTGGTCACGGCTTCCCTCTAGAACCACAGGTTAACTACCTGAATATGGCCAGTCGCTAGTGAGCATCAGATTAATTAATTTTCAAGTATTGGTTTTGTAGGGAGGGATTGTGTTTGATTAGTTAGAGGGTTTCACCGATTGAATCAGTATGGGTTCCACTAAGAGGATCGATGACTATTTTCTAGGCGAATGCGGATAATAAAAATAATGCTAACCCTAATCTTAATTGTAACCCTGATACCAACCTTGACCCTAATCGTGACTGTAGCACTAACAAGCCATAGACAAATTGTCCAAACAGTACTTAAAATCGAAATCGGGATGAAATTCACACCTCTATCCGTGCACAGCGTTCAAAGTGACACTGTGTTGTGAATAGTAGGTCTCGTTATCGAACGAGTAGTATGCGTTCAAGGCTACTGGTGCTTCCGCACTCCTGGCTCACCGTTATACTTTGGTAATTTGGTCTGATTGTATCCTTCATATGCATATCGCTGCATTGTGTGTCACAACACCGTCCATTCTGTCTTTCTTTTAGATGAAATTGATAAACTCTATTTAAGAAATCAAGATCTTAATAAAGTGGAGACGAATAAAATTGAATCACAAGGAAAAGAAGAAGAAAACGATTCAGCTAAATTATCCCTGAGAAATGATGGAGATTCGACGGCGACTACTACTCCTAGTAGTAGTAGTAGTAGTAGTAGTGGAAGTGACGGAATCGTGCCAGTGGTGGAACCTACAAGGATTGTTCCATGCGAAGAAGTACCACAGGAATGATAAATAAAATTTTCTTCCATCACCATCACAGATTACGTGGCAATGTTCGTGTTTTTTTGATAATAGATTGATCGCCAGAAATGCCTTTCTTTCCTTAGAAACTACTATTGTAGTTATTATCATTATTATTTTTATTATTATTAATATTACTCGGTGAATAAAAACCCTTATTTTGTTATAAATTACTCCAACATACTCTCGACTATTCTCTGTGCTATTTCTTTTATCTGTTCTTTGTTTTTGCATATTTTGTGGTAAAAAAAGATAAATAGAAATTGTAAATATCCCTTCTTGTTGTATCTGATTCGCGTACATTGATATTCTATGTGTTATGATGTGCTAGCCAATTTGACAGTTAGTATATAGTCTCATGGTGTAGTTGGCATTCGAAGGTGATGAATACTCTGCTGCAGATATGCAGCGCTGATGTGTGTGTTGTTCAACGTTTAGGTGAACGGCAACATATATGGTGAGATGATGTAAATAATTGACTGTTATTCTCTTTTCTCTAAGTTGGATGGCAATGTATAGAAGTCGACATATGTAAGAGGAACATTTGTAAAATCTCAGAGAAATTGACATATAAGTTGGAAATGCTTAGTTCCAACGTTCCCTGTGTTCGCCAAACTGGTCTGAACTTCTTCAGGGAAATTAATATAAGAAAGGTGTATATATATATCAAAGATATCTCTTGTCTTTAAAAGCTTTGTCGAATCATACGCGACCTGAAACAGTCATCAAAATATAATTTGAAAACTTTTGGGTGAATGCCTTAATTTTTTTGAACGTAGAACTTAGCACAGATGTACAGCGGTTCGAGTTGTGCGTGAAGGAAAAAGAACAGTCATATGGAAGGACGATGGAGTTTTATTCGATATGATATATCACAAAGAGTGAATTCATCTGCGCTGTCCCTGAGAACGATTTTGAACCATATTAAAAATTTTCTCCAACCATTGGTTCTTACCATCCTGAGGACCCCCACCAACCAAGCATTCTACACCACCATACGTGTCGCGTAAACTAACTGTTGTTGATTTGACTGACTGATGATGCCATGTTTTGGTTTGACCACCTCTAGCTTTCTCTCTTCCAACCTGATTAACCCTAAGTTAGCTAGCATTGTCCTTCGAGGAAGGCGAAAACTAGGGGTGCACGCGTAAAACATGCTCTAACCGTCTCAATCGATGTGACTTCACAACCTCGTCGATTGATTTTCCCTCCCTACCTAGCACTCGACCGATGCTGAACCTAAATATTACTCACCCTATTATACCGCCTAATACGGCAGATACAACGCAGACACCTATGGTTAGCGACAGCTAGCCAAGTCTTATAGCCAGCCATTAACGAGGACTGGACAAACTGCTAGGCATTACGTACGTCTTTTGATCGATTACCAGCAGGATGACAAGCCGCACGAACCTTTTGTGTCCATGCTGAGATTTCATCAGCGATCAACCAGTTGGAGCTGATGCAGCTCCCCAAATAAGTGAAGTGGTCAATGCGCTTTACCAATTCACTCCCTAATTCTAATCTAGGAGTCAGTGTAGTCCAGTCCTGTAACATCATCTTACATTTGGCGGAGCATGTCGCATGCTAAACACTCTAAGATTGCTGCTCAAGGTGTTCAGAAGACTCTGCTCGGCTTTGTCAGCGTCTTCACCTAGTTGGGAGGACTATGTCATCTGCGTATTGTAAGTCAACGAGATTATTTCCTGTGAACAAGTTAGTGCGTGAATGTCGCTGAAGTGAGTTAAGGTTAAGTTCTTTAGTACATCTTTGATGAAATGGGGATAGTGGGTCATCCGTGACAGACTCCACTGGTTGTCACTACTTTAGATGACAACTCTCACTTGGCTGACCTCATGAGTTCGAGTTTAGTGCGATGTATTTAATCGGCATTCCCTTCACAGACAAATATTTTCATACTGCCTCTCGGTCGACGGAATCGAATACCACCTTTGGGTAAAGAAACATGACAATTGCTGGACGCCGGTGGATATGACTATGTCCCAGAATCTGTCGAAGGGTGAAGATATAATCAATTCACCCTCTTCGTGGTCTGAAGCCTGGCTAGTTTTCTTGTTGTTTTTTCTCCGAACACCACTTAATGTACGCATGATTATTGATCCTAGAACTTAAGATACCACATCGGTGAAGCTGGTCCCCGCTGTGATTGATCTTCCTTCTTGTATATCGGGATAATCAATGACTTACACCAGCCCAACAGGACTTCCTCTGATTCCCAGACTCTGCCTAATACCTTAGTTAACGCAGACAGTAAACTGTCTCCGCCGTCCATGAACACCTCTGGAGTCATTCCATAGGGTCCCGCATCTTTGCCTCGTACTGCGTACTTTCAGAAACTTAAAGAAATATTAATGCAATGCAATTTTCATAGTAATATTGTAAATACAGTCATCCTGCTATGGATGGCTTCTACTTAGTTACACAAAATAGGTGAACTTCTGATCTGATTATTCTGTTGTGATATAGATATATATTAAAACAAGAGATTACAAATCATCAAATTAGTTAATTAGTAGATGTTAGCAACAGATGGCCAATCGACAAGATATCCAAATTTTGACGGAGAGTGTACAGTCACCTCGCATCTTCGTTAGGCAAAAGCTTCGAATAAAGCTGTACGCAACTCAATTCTAGCTCATCTCATCTATACCGGACATTGAGCTGACTTTGACAAAACTTTCAAAGTTACTTATCGCATTTCACCCATTGTTTCGCTTGCTCTACAAGCATGACTTTTACATTCAGCAGGGGCCATTAGAAGTCATCTGATGAACAAGCCAGTTCTGTGTGTTCAAAAGAAATTTTTGCAGCTCCATTCCTTTTCTCATAACATGCATTAAGTTTTATAAGTGATTATCCCCACCCTTTTGTCACTATCATTTGTCTTTATTTTATTTTGATTACTATTCTAGTTAATTCATTTAACTTGTTTACAAATCGGTATCCTTATGTAGTTCTCCTTGGTCATAATTATTTTATGAATTCGTTGATTACGTAACAGCTCGTCTTGAATTCCGCAACTGCTTTCACCTCTCCTTAGAGCTTATAAACTAGGTCTCTGTGTACAAATGGAAATGGTGGTCACTATGAATCTACCATAGTAATATGTTCTACTTATTAACTTTTATTATTAGCAATAGTATTTTATTCTACCTCTTATTATTGCTATTCCTGATTCATTTAAAACTATCCTTCATCAGTAGCGTTATCTTAACTCGTTTCAACATTATTATTACCAATATTACTCGGTGCGTCGTCGGTTCACTGTTAGAACACTGGCCAACCACGCAAGTGGCCCAGGATCCGAACCCCAGCTGGCGCACTCCTTTACCTCGCTTTACCGGTAGTATTGTAACAACAGAATACAAGGGCCAGGCAACAGATCGTTTATTGAGAAAATCAAGAGATATTTATTGTTAGCAGAGAAGCAACGTCTTCTGATTGGCTGTTTTCCTGCTGAAGGTGGTTATTCTGTTATTTCTTTGTTGCCATTTCTTAGACAGTCCGTTTATATATCTGCTACTCGTCTCCGCCCATGCTAAGTCTGCTGTGATCGGTTGTTGAGTTAGTCTTTGTTCTTGTTTTTTTCTCATGACCAAGATATGGGACGTGAAAATTGACGTAAATTGCTGTCTACCAATTTCGGCTAGTAGACAGCTCTCACCACAGTATGACAGGCAAAGAGGGAAGGTCGGGTGTAAGGCTAGCAACCTTACCCGGTAAGAAAACACCACTGGTACTGAAACTTCAAAGCCCTATCTCCCACTGGGAACCGCCAAAAACGGTATCTTATCCTTAACGTTAGACTGGATACTCGGTATCTGAAACTGGACCTCTGCATTCAGAAGCACCACATGCATCCACTCACCCTACTGTGACCAGAATAACGTTCTTACTGTGATTTCGCTTCTTTTTATTGTGGAAGTTTACTATTATCATTATAATTCCCATCGTTATCCATATTTTATTACCACTCTACTACTGTTTATGAATAAAATTGCTTTTTCATACAGATTTTACATTTTTCAAAACACTTTATCGTCTTTCCACTAGTTCCTCTCCATTCTACACAATCTTATTGATGAGTTAATATCGCACACTTATGACGTCAAGCCAACTTTTGCCCCTTTCCTAATTTCCAATCAGTCACCCCTTCTATTCCCGACCGAAAGCTGCTACCTTGACGTGGTGGTCGGGCTTGAACACTGCAATGACCCAACAAGCTATACTGGCTGGAACTTATGTTCCTGCAGGTCCTACCATGCCAGAAAGGTTGTTTGGATAGCAGTTAGACTAAAAGCAGTTACCCAAGCCAATCCTATGATTTCAAATAAATCACAAAATATCATGCCGGATCGGTCGGGGCCCGGATTAACAACGACCGCGCTTTCTGCTGCCGTGTCACAGGGCAGAAGTGATAAATACGCTACTGAGACACACTAAATAAAAAAGAACAAACAAAAACAGGCCGTGTGTGACCGGCCTCAAGCAGTTGTCCCCTGGGCTCTGCGGTCACGCAACCAACTTCCACGGTGTGGGCAGCCGGGAAGTAACAATCGCCCTCACAATCCGAAGTGCACGCGAAACCCCTCTAATCCTCGCTCATCTTTGTCTTCATCTTCATCTCTATTATCTTGCCTTCCTTCTACCAATGCAACTCCTCTACTTGTTGGCTCTTCACTTCCCCTTCACTCTGTGTGCACTGATAACGATGGAAGCCAAAAAGCCACCACCGATTGTCTCCTAAAACCACGCCACCAATTTTATATAGGAGCATTTAATGTTAGGACACTTTGCCAAATAGGACAACAAGCATCACTAGCCAAGACTCTGGCATCCCGAGCCATTGATGTATGTTGTGTTTCAGAAACACGCATACAAGACCCAAGAGTGGTTATTCACCTAACCCCACCTGGCCAACAGGATGAATCTGCAAAATTCACCTTGAGGGTGTCAGGAGATGCGACGGCTAGCTCACGAGGATTAGCTGGTGTTGGGATAGCTTTAAGTACTAGAGCAGAAAAGACATTACTTGACTGGATCCCGGTAGATAGCCGAATGTGCGCTGTCCGCCTGAACGGATCAGTGAAAAGGAGAAAGGACTGCACTACTCGCCGATGCCTTTTCGTAATCTCCGCCTACGCCCCCACTGACTGCAGTTCGGATGAAACGAAGGATGAGTTCTACCAAAAGCTGTCTAGTTTGCTGCGAAAGGCTAGACGCTCAGATATAGTCGTTTTAGCTGGTGACTTTAATGCTCAAGTAGGGAAATTGTGTCAATCTGAGAAGAATGTTGGTGGCACATACCGAATTCCGTGCCAGCGAACCGACAACGGTGACCGTCTCCTACAGTTCTGTTCAGATAATCATTTGTATCTTGTAAGCACTAACTTCAAACACAAGGAGAGACACTGTTTGACCTGGCGACCCCCATCATCAAATCAACGCTGGACACAAATAGACCACATAGCAATAAGCTATCGTTGGCGTGGGTCGGTAGGAGATTGTCGCTCCTTCTGGAACACGTGTGTAGATACCGATCACGCACTGATCCGCGCTCGTGTGTGCTTACGACTGAACGGACGTAGGAAACAGCGAGCGGTAAACCCATCACGTCCCCAGCTCGACCAGGGAACTAAGTCCCTA